TTGGCCCATCCTCTTATCTTTTCATTTCGAAAGAATTCGAATCTAACTGAGCTATGTTGAAGAAACCGTTACATTACAGTAAACAAGACATAGCCTTGTTGTACCTTAAGTCGAATTATTCTGTTCCACGTGAAGGGATAATAAATGTTCGAAGTTTTGGCATTAAACAGAGAAAGACTAATTAGATTTGCTTTAGTATAGATTATGCTGCTACTTCTAGACTTTTGAAGAGCATAAGCCGAGAATGAATCATTACGATTCTCATTATTGTGTTGCTGTAACTGGATACAATCGAAAAGGCCTTTTTATCCGGCGTTTTGAAGACCCATTTTCAAAACGTTATGTATAGGGCCGAAACCGATAGTGTCATTCCCATTCTCCCATCCAGGAATGTTTAATCCGCAGGGTGGCTCACTAGAATGGCACATGCGTTAAAGACTTTTGTTCAAACTCATATGATCCAAGATGGGTATGGAATGTTAGAAAATCGTCGTTAGCCCCTTTATCTTAATCATCTCCAGAGAATCGGACGACCGCCGAATGCTGAGAAAGCAAATTCTGGCAGACTTCCAGTTAAGAATGAATTGACTGTGAGTTGATTCTGCGATAAAGAATACAACCATCATGTTCCTCTGCTATCTTAGGAAACAACTTCTACGCCACCGGTGGTTGCTGTTGCGAGTGACAGCGAACCAAAAATCTCTCCCGCTCCGGTACGGTTGTGCTTACTCTCATTCTAGTCATCTTGTGATATCTGCATCACTGAACGCTTATCTTTGTTTCAGCGTGCTCAGAAAAGAACTTACAACAGAGCAAAGTCGTCGACCCCTCAAAAGGTGTTGAAAATTGAAAACAACGTTGATAATACTAAAAATATCATCAACGAGTTGTCGAAGCCAATGACAGCCAGCGAAGTGAGTTCTGTCCAGATTACTTCGTATTGTTTGCACTCTAAGAGTTAGCCTTTTTAGGTTGATCTCAGCGGTGAAGTCCGGCCATCTAGAGTGCGTAAAACGCCAAAATGGTTGGAGGATAATGCCTTTTCGTACTGAATAGCACAAGTGAGTCTTCATTGCTCTTTGTTCTTTTTTGGTGTTTAAGGTGGATGTTGTTGGCTCATTTTTGTCTTATTTGTTATCCTGCGCACAAACACAATTTTTGTAATCTCCCATTTTCTTATTTGAAAGCTCCACAACTTCCTTGCCCTCCCATTGATATTTTAGTGGGAATGAACATATTCTGTCTTTGTACATGCCATATGAAATCTAGCTGAATGTGTGATGGGATGTTCAGTAGATGAACATAAAATTTGTCTGCTTTTCAAGCTGGGATATGTACATTTACAGTGCATAAATCTAGTAGTTTTAGAGCTAATCACTGTAGGGGTGCTATAATTATGCAAGGATATTCTAAATTGAAATAGCATTCATTGAAAAGTTTTGCTCTTTTTTCTTGAAATCTTTATAAGCTTTCATAATCAGCTAACCGGTGTGTTGCATATCTCCTCTGTGGGTCGGAAAACCTTGCATCTTTTGTACACTCTATTTCTCAATGCAAAAGAAATGATCGCTTTGCTGTAGCAACATCCCGAAATCCATTTAACTCATATTGTAACAGCTTGTCGGTTCTGTGTCAAACCAAACTCGTCAATCCAAGGAGGCATGAGTTCAAAAGTATCGTGTCCGCCTTAGTCATGCTTAGAGCACAAACGCTTTTTTTCAGACGCAACTCACACCTCAGATAAGTTTAAATGTGGAATAATATCCATGTCAGGAACTTTATTCACTAAATTTATTGTTGTTGTTTATTATTGAATGTCTACACAGTAGTTCGCTGAGAAGGTGTCCCTTTTAGGATGTTATCTATTTGATGCA